TTGCAACGATTCATCGTTAAACCAGTATTGCTAAATTGACTTGGTATCGCATTTGACGAGCAAATGTTCCATACAGATTGACGGAAACATTGAAGCAAATATTTGTGATAATTTCAACTGGTAGAAATAATTTTCAAAATGAAGCTACACATATGTATTCAGTTTAGTGTCTTTCTTTAAATAACACATCGCATGAAGCTATGCCTAACATCATATCAAATGCTCTATCGTCAGAAGAATCAGATACCTAAGCACAACGTCATATTAAGGATTCATAGTGTTCATCTTATTTAGAAGCATGACAGAAAATACTGATGCACTGGACAACTGATGTGCTCACCGCTTCACCATCATCTTCTGTGATCGCTTTCAAAAGACCTGACGGTTTGCGGAAGTGATGCCTTCTCAAAGGTCCAACAACAGGATGTTTGTGTGGGATTCGGACAGCATCATTGCAATAACCGCAATAATATAGTGGAACGCCGATGGCGATCAGCTGATTTACGCTGAAAATTTTTTTCGTATTAAATTCTTTGAGAAAAGTTTCTTTTTTTTTGTTTTTTGCAAAATGAATGAAGTGAAAATGTAAAAAGCGATTCACTGCATAAAATTGAACAAATTTGTTGCAGAGAAATGGTTATTCACTATCAGAGAAAACCTACTGTTTCCTAATGATTCCATAGATGAATTTGGGTTTGTTCACTATTGAGGTCTTCTTTTCATCATCAATACTTGAGAATTCAGATGTTGATTCTCTAGAATGTGATTCTGACAACAAGCGATGCTTGTGTACTGGTGAAGCTGATACTCTTTGCTTAGTATTTGAGAAATCTATTCCAGACTTCTTAATACTATCAGAATTGTGTTGTGGCTGCCCTTTTAAAGGCATTCTGAAGTTACAACCGCGATCAGATCGGTAGACTGCACATCCAAAGAAACTTTCCACCAAATCGCCCGAATCACTTCGACGACCAAACAGCAGACAAGGACCTGTATAAATGTACACAATTGAATGCGAGCGATTCAGAGGGCAATTGCATTTGCCAACTTACTGTATATTCATTCAGATTTCTTAAATAACACTGAAAAGTGAATTGAATAAAGCATGGAAGTGCTTTAAATAACCGATACTACCTGATAGTCTGTGTGAAGCAAACTTTCAAACCGTTCGAAGTGCTTTTCGCCTGTGCATGAAGCTATGATATTGGTGGGTAAATTTGATTGATGATATTGGTATTGGTGGGTAATTTTGTGGGTAATTGTGGGTAATTGGTGGGTAATGAAGATATGATACTGGTGGGATATTGGCGGGTAATTTTGATTGGAGAAGAACACATTGAACAAATATCTTAGATAACGGCACGTTCCCTTGAATGGTCAATTCTGATTCAGAAATGGAGTCGGAATGAAGTCCAGAAACTTATCTCAGCAAACGCAAGATAAGTTTCAATGCGAAGAAGCAATTTCTAGTGATCACTCACGGACTTTAACAGTGATGTGAACATGCACATACCATGTGAACAAGACGGAGGTGACCCAACGAAGTTTGCTTCGTCGTTTGAGTCGAGAACACAGAAATTCTGACGTTCTCTAAGTGTATTCGAACATCTTTGCGCCAATTGGTCCCTCACAACTCGATTCTTTGAGATACTCTTCCGTGTTG